TGGAAATTAGGGGTTCTTACGCGTTTTAATAATAGAAACAAATATTCATATGTTATTTGATATGGATTCAGGTAAGGAAACAAATAGGTTCTATATTTGATTGTTCATAAACATCTATTGTTAATTTGGGGGAATTTTTGTGAATTTGTAGGTTTTTTGTTTAAATTTATTAAGGGACTGTGGTGACGCTGCCGAATTGTCCGTCGATTCCAATTTTTCTGAGGTTTAGGATAAATTGAATAGATATGAATGTGGAATATTGATAATGATTGCTGTTTTAATAATCTGACTATGGGAAATTGATTAATGATACTGGAATTACAAGTGGGAAACTGGTGAACGTTAGTTGGAGATTGAATGGAACCTGTAACAATTTGATGGTGGCCGAACGGTAGCTTCTCCTTAAACCAAATTTGATAATGGATATATTGAGATGGGAAGTCATTAAGGAGAGTTTTTATAGGATATGACCCGAGGGGGCCGGAACGGGCCAATAGGATGACGCTTCTTTTTTTGAGACAACGTCTAGGATAATCTTACAAACAGGCAAAATGGAATCTACAACAGCAAACATTATGCAGTTTTGATTGTATTTTAACTTGTACAGCTTATTTGTACTTGACATTGCTTTTACTGTATTGGAGCATATTAGGATTTTCTGCTTTAATTGATTCTGATCGGATTTACTGTAAATTGTTTTACGTTTCTGATTTCATTGACCTCTTTGATCATTGGGCATGTTACTATTTTGATTAATTTGGACCACTTAATACTGGGCATACATATAGCATTTATTTGATCGGTAATTTGAAGAATTTATCCGTATTGCTTTCGATTGATTTATTACTGAAAAGCATTAGATTTTGATTTGATTTCAGTTGATTGATTCGGTAACACGGACTCTATAGAACGGGATTGGATTGATTTTCTTCTGTGTACGAAATTTCTTTTTGCAAGATTGACGTGGTAATTAAATTGAGTTTGGTTTAGTCGACATTTGCCCGCCTTGCCTTTGCATTGATAGACTTATTTTCATTTGACTAGGCATTTCCGTTTATTGCATAGACTCAATGGACCCCATTGACTGATTAATTGGATATGTGATTTGAACTTGGAAACATGGGGGGCACTATTTGATTTTAAGGCATCGCCGTGCTTATTGGATCTTTCAGTTATAGGTTTCCATTTAGGGTGAAACCTGTTGGCTTTGTTAAAAGCTCAATCTATATTTGTGTTTGACATTTTTGGTTCAGAGCAAGGGAGAAAGCAGAATGATAGGATTGATCCGGGATCTACAGTTTTTGTCTTTTTGATTTGATAGATTTGATTCTTTTTGTTTACTCAGATAGCGAATAGAATTTCATTGTTACTTGTTATTGTAGATGTGTAGTTCCCTGAGTAAGAGTATTACATTGAAACTTTTTGAGATATGAAATCGACTTGTTTATGTGATTGTTTTTAATTTTATTTAGACTTTTGTTCTTAGACGTGATTAATTGCGAGAAATTTGTAAAGATAACTCTGGTTAAAATTGGCTGGTTAATTGGGACATTTACTTTCCAAGTTTAGAATCTCCGAAGGCATGACCAAAATTTTGTAAATGGGCGCTTTTGAGACCAAATATAAGGGGTGCTTTTATGAAGCCAAAGTAAATGATGACTATTTTATGTTACACTGATCAGTACAAATGATTACTTCTGAAACGGTGTTAAGTATTATGATATTCAATGAAATTGCATCCTATGTTAATGCATATGAGGCTTTATTTGATGCACGAATGAATTAAGATGAAGACAGTGAAAATTATTGCAAAGAATGAGAACTTAAGTTATGTAAAGACATGATTCACTTAGACAATTTATAACTGTGATTATTATTTATTTAGAAAGAAGATAGTTGTAGTTTCTTTCCTTGATCTAAATTATATATGTTGAAGTCATTTCATCTTAACTGAATTGGACTCACTCCTCTTATGGCACTTTCAAGAGAATTGACAAAAGATAATGGCGGATAGACCTCCCTTACGTACCTTCATAAGGAGACACGAGCGAAGGTTTTCTTTTTATTTGAGTTTTGATTAGAAGAGATATATATGAAATGTAGAAAGTTTTTGGACAATCTGTTATATTTGAAAACTTTATGTTTGATTATGTTGAGATGTTGGATGATGGAACTATAAAGAAAACTTTATACTTAGTTTTCAAGTTAGTGGCACTTTTTTATGACTTATGAAGAATTATACTATCATGTAAGTAAAAGTTTTTAATTCTTACTGTTGTTTTGGGTGCCGGTATTTGGTCGTCCCGTCCCTTGATGCTTCCGGTATGTGACATGACAATTAATTATGTCATTACAACAAATCAATTAACAATGGTTCCAGTCAATAGACCGTTATTGTAGTTCAACGTGTGATAGCCACCCAATTTTAGGACACGTGTCCACATTACTTACTAGTATGAGATCATTTAAGAGTATCATAGGTTATTTAACCTAGATTGGCTCTTTGAAGCTTAGTTTACTTAAATCTATCACCATCAAACAAACTATACGAAAGATGGACATGGTTATTGCTTACTTAGGGATGACAGGTACTTTACTTGATTCTGTATATATTTTTGAAGTTTTTATGGATCTTTATGTCTATTGCAACTTTCATATTATAATATTACTACAAACAATATTATAAATCAAAATGATTTGCTTTGGAGATTTAGGAGTATTATATTGAAGAATAAAAATCCATCTATATGATATTTTTGTCAACAGCGACCATCACAGAAGACACATTGGATACTTACACTTTTGCTAATGTAAACGCTAGTCAAACTAAGACCACCTCCTAGCGATGAGGACGCAGATCACAGGGTCAAATTGCCGACTCCAATTATGGACATGGGAGGTCATTACATGAATTTCAAGACTTACAACTCAATACCCCTACCCAGCGCCCGCTCATGGGGTTCAAGAAGTATAGTCGACTCTAAATAATCGTGACATGCAAATCTGTACATGAGATTACAATTACAATGCTAAGGAGCCACTCCGCGTCGAGTTGTGTATATGTAAGCGACTTTGAATATTAAAAGAAGTGTAAATTTTCAAACAAAGCCAAATCATACAATACTCATAGTAGAAAAATCTAAGTATGTTCTTGTTTTTAATCCACAAACAGTTTTAGAGTTAGTTTGCAGAAACCTAGATCATGTTTTGTCGGAGCACATGATCACATTATTATTAGGGTAGATGAAACATAGTTACGAGAACATGCATGCTTCGATGTCGCTTGCAATGATTTTCAATGTACATGATATAACTGCACTATGCATTAATTTTTGCTTAAAACTGACAGTTCAAGTTTTTTTTTATCTGCAAGCTAAAGATTCATAAGGTAATAACAATCATAATAACCAAAAAATAAAAGAGAGGCGGATAATTTCCCCAAATGCCTAATATGACAAATATAAATATTGGAAAAAGAGAAAGTAAAAAAAAAAAAGTATACAAGAAAATCATGAAACGACCACAGTAAATAATAGTTTTATCTTTCATACTTTGCATCTAAACCATGTGGGAGAAAAAAGATACGAAGACGACCATAATAAATCATTGATTATCTCTTCGTTACTTTGCAGCAAAATAGATTCCAAGACATTTATCTGCCAACTAAATTGCCACAATCTGCGCATGTATAATTTAGATTATAAGGCAAAATATATATTCCTATACATGAATCCCATAACTGGTTTAGACTATCAGCTTGATAAAAATAAAAAATAAAACAAATCAGCAGGGCAATTGATACCATGTTTCCAATGTCTAGCATCGTTGTCAGACACGTTTTAGAGACGAACGCTGTATATAAAATAAACAAAATGAAGCTTGTTAGATTTCGCTCACTTATGCACATTAAAATTAGATAGCACCGACTTTGGTTGATCTTTTGTTGGCCATCTGTCAAACTCTACACTAATCGAACCCTAGGCCTGCCGTTGTCTCTCCTACATCCAGCCTAACACCCCCTGACTTGCTCTGCGTCCACAGTTCTAGACAAACCCGCACGGGAGATTCCACACGCCCACTGATATGTCGTCATCAGAGGCAGAGAGAGATGGTCGTTGTAGGGTTACTGCTCCTTTGGAGGCCTGAGTTAGAGTTTAAATTGACCGAGAGCTATGATGCAGACACTCCGCTTAAAGAGGACCCAGGTCGGACACGTGATCGAACACGACACGCAATTCGACACGCATAGACACGTCGTTCGACAAGGCATGTGGCAGTGTTCAATTAAATAATTAAAAATAAAATCAAGACAAGCGTGGACACGCGTGTGTCTAGTTATATAAAAATAAAATTGTCAGTGTTCTACTTAGCCTTTCCGCGAGTCCGACACTCAAGGTTACAGCTGCAGACATGCCCGGAAACTCTATACATGCTCAGGTTACTGCTCGAGTACAGCTCAGTACTGCACAATATAGTGCTCACGGTACCGCTTAGGTAGACATACTCGTGGTAGCGAGGACGGGGATTGCGTCCCAATGTGCGACAGATGGGTTGTAAATTTGTTAATTTTCTTGATATTTGTGTGTGGTGGGTACTAGTGGGTACGATGCTCGGTACTGCTAGTACGGATGCTTGTACCGCTCAAGTAACCGCTATGGTAAATGTTTCGAGGTCTGCTAGGTACGATGCCCGGACCACCGATATCTTCCCATACAAACAACTACAAACTTAAAACAGCAGAAACTTCAAAATAATCTTACAGGCTCGAACCCCCAGGCGCACGCCCCCTTGGACCCCCTGCAGACTGTATATTGTTGTATTCATGTTGTTTATTATGGTATTTTGATCACTTACATATCAATTTAATTTGAGCATTGCCATAG